AAATACCAACATTCAGGTATTATCGATTAAAAATTTTCTCATAATTTGATTATTATATTTCTATAACTTGTTAAAGATTTATTAATATTTTTTATACCACTAATAAGAGTCAAACGGCATGACATATTTTATTAAGATAAAATGTCAATCCGGTATTTAAATATAAAACATTTTTGCTATTGCTATTTTTATTTGCTTACTTTGTAATTAAAATAATAGAATGAACATCATGTGACAATTATAAGGCTTTTGCATTTTTGTATAATATTAAGAGTTTTCAATTTAATATTTCTTTTTTTCATTTTAGGTTGAAGTTGATTCAGTTAAAAGAAAAGTATCAAAAGAAAATGAATCAAATAATATAGCTATTTCTGAAGAGGATCATCAGGTTTGTAAAGTTAGACTTTGTACATATTACAATTATTATTAGTTAGGTATTTCAAAAAAATGTATGACCAATTTACTAATTTTGTAAATAAGCAGCATAACTGAGTGAAATGGTCACTCATTGAAATTGCACCTTAGGTATAATTGCACCCCTGGCAAATGCCTTGTTGCCAGCACCTAGCTATGTCTCTGATTCTGTTTAAAAATTTTAAACATGTAAATAAAAATAATTACACATTATTAAATAAATATAAGTAGGTACTTATTATGATTTAAATGTTTAAATTAACATTATTTGGACTTTTTTTTTCTAGTTGTATAATTGCATAATATTTGTTGTTATTTACAGGAATTGGAACCAGATTTAATGTTGACTTCTTTTAGAGAAAAACCAGAATGTTGGGATGACAAACAATTAAAATATTTCACAGATGAGTACCCTTGGCTTTATTTTAAAGAGACTAAATTAGGTTGTCTTATTTGTAAAAAAGTAAATTTTAATTTAACAACATGTCATGGGGCACATTCTTCTAAAGAATGGATAAATGGTGAGGTGGGCGCTGTAGGAACTGATGATAGTAAAATGAAAGCCAATTTAAGAAAAAAAATATGTAAGCATAAAAACTCACAAGCTCATTTAAAAGCCCAACAAATTATTGATAAGGGTTCATGTGAAGTTTTACCTGGACAATTTTCCAAACTTTCAAGTTTAGAACATGAAACTACTAGAAAAGTTTTCAGAACTGCTTACTTTATAKCAAAAAATCAACGACCATACACAGATTTGCCTAAACTTGTGGATTTACAAACCGTTAACAGTCTAAATATGGGTAGAATTCTTCATACTGATAAATCTTGTAACAGTATAATTGAACATATTTCAGTAGAAATTAGGATTAAGATTTGCAATGATATCATTGAAAATCAAAGAAAATTTTGCATTATTGTTGATGAATCCACAACATTAAGTCAAAAAACAATGTTGGTTATTTGCCTAAGAACTGTAGTTGGACCAAATAATGAAGTCATAACTTTTTTTTTTGATATCATTGAACTAACAAACACATCTGCCGATTCAATCAAAAACGCTATACTAACAAATCTTTCATCTCATGGACTCAACAATAATTTTCTAAAGTTAAATCTCATTGCATTTGTGAGTGATGGCGCGTCATCAATGTTGGGTCGAATTGCTGGTGTTGGAGCTCAATTAAAAAAAATGTACCCGAATATAGTTATTTGGCATTGTTGTAATCATAGGTTASAACTCGCTGTATGTGATACCTTAAAAGAAGTTAGTGGTATTAATAATTTTCAACTGTTCATTGAAAAATTGTATGCTCTGTATCACCAATCGCCAAAAAACATGAATGAGCTTCATATGTGTGCTGTATCTTTGGAACATAACTTACAACGTATCGGGAAAATTTTTACAATACGATGGGTTGCATCAAGTGAAAGGACAATAAAAGCTGTATGGAACAACTTTCCAGCACTATACCAACACTTCACAACTGCTGCCAATGATGGTTTAAGAACTTCAAAAGAAAAGTCAAAATACTTGGGACTTAAAAGACATTTGGCGTCAATAGAATTTGTCACCAATCTTGGTAAGTAAATTTTTTATTTTGGATTTAAATTGAATTAATTATAATCTAAACATGTAATTTAATTAGATTTTTTTCTGTTATGTTATAGGTATAATGTATGACGCCTTATGTGAATTAGCTGACTTGTCTACATCACTCCAAAATAGAAGTCATACATTGACTCAAGCAAATTGTTGTATTCAACGTATAATAATGGTTTTCGACTCAATGGCTGAAAATTATGGTCCTAAAACAAAAGAAGCTATTGATTCATGTGAAAAACAATTATTTAAAGACATTCCACTCATTACTAACAAAGCTATACCAAAGATAAATCCATTGCAGTTTTTTAGAAGTCTATCTAATAACTTACGAAGTAGATTGTTCACAACACAATCATCAAACGTATCTATGCAAGGTAATGAGTTTAAAAATATATACACTCAATTACTTAATGACTTAGATGTATTGGACCCAAAAAATTGGCCAGATCAATTTGATATACAGTATGGCGACTCTGCAGTAAGAAGATTAGCCAATGTGTTTCAAGTTGATGAAAGATCTGCGATAAATGGATTTCGGGAGTTTAAAGATCTCAAGGATAGTTCAACAGTTTTAGATTTAAGACCATTATTAACTGCAATTAAAACTGTAGCAATATCATCCAGTGAATGCGAAAGAGCTTTCAGTTCAATGAACAATATAGTTACTACTAAAAGAAATGCTTTGAACCCGACAAGTATTTCTTCTCTCATGTTGATTAATTGTGTAGGGCCACCAGTGCACATGTTTGTACCTGAGCCTTATGTTGCATCATGGATACAGAAAGGCAAACGATGTGCTGATGAAGTTAACTGCCCTAAACCACAAAATATTGAAGTGAACCATTCATATGTAGAGCTATGGAATATATTAAAAATTTAAAAATTTAAATAATGTATAAAATATGTTAAAATAAAATAAAAGATTTGTTTGTAATTTAATAATATTTATTTATTGTTGTAGTGTAACCTTTGTTTAATTTTAATGATTGTTTGACTTGTGTTGAAAATACTACATGGGGGGTGTGGGGGGCGAAGTTTGGTTTA